TAATACACTCCCTGTTTTAATAATTTAATAATACACACCATGTTTTAATAATACACTCCCTGTTTTAATAATTTAATAATGCACATCATGTTTTAATAATACACTCCCTGTTTTAATAATTTAATAATACACACCATGTTTTAATAATACACTCTCTGTTTTAATAATTTAATAATGCACATCATGTTTTAATAATACACTCCCTGTTTTAATAATTTAATAATACACACCATGTTTTAATAATACACTCTCTGTTTTAATAATTTAATAATACACACCATGTTTTAATAATACACTCTCTGTTTTAATAATTTAATAATGCACTCCCTGTTTTAATAATTACACACCATGTTTTAATAATACACTCCCTGTTTTAATAATTTAATAATACACACCATGTTTTAATAATACACTCTCTGTTTTAATAATTTAATAATGCACATCATGTTTTAATAATACACTCCCTGTTTTAATAATTTAATAATACACACCATGTTTTAATAATACACTCTCTGTTTTAATAATTTAATAATACACTCACTGTTTTAATAATTTAATAATACACTCACTGTTTTAATAATACACTCCCTGTTTTAATAATTTAATAATGCACACCATGTTTTAATAATACACTCCCTGTTTTAATAATTTAATAATGCACACCATGTTTTAATAATACACTCCCTGTTTTAATAATTTAATAATACACTCCCTGTTTTAATAATTTAATAATACACTCACTGTTTTAATAATACACTCCCTGTTTTAATAATTTAATAATGCACACCATGTTTTAATAATACACTCTCTGTTTTAATAATTTAATAATGCACTCCCTGTTTTAATAATTACACACCATGTTTTAATAATACACTCCCTGTTTTAATAATTTAATAATACACTCACTGTTTTAATAATACACTCCCTGTTTTAATAATTTAATAATGTCCTCCTTGTTTTAATAATACACTCCCTGTTTTAATAATTTAATAATACACTCCTTGTTTTAATAATACACTCCCTGTTTTAATAATTTAATAATACACTCCTTGTTTTAATAATACACTCCCTGTTTTAATAATTTAATAATGCACTCCCTGTTTTAATAATACACTCCCTGTTTTAATAATTTAATAATACACATCATGTTTTACTAATACACTCCCTGTTTTAACAATTTAATAATACACTCACTGTTTTAATAATACACTCCCTGTTTTAATAATTTAATAATACACTCCCTGTTTTAATAATACACTCCCTGTTTTAATAATTTAATAATATACTCCCAGTTTTAATAATCCACTCCCTGTTATAATAATACACTCCCTGTTTTAATAATTTAATAATACACTCCCTGTTTTAATAATACACTCCCTGTTTTAATAATTTAATAATGCACTCCCTGTTTTAATAATACACTCCCTGTTTTAATAATTTAATAATACATACCATGTTTTAATAATACACTCCCTGTTTTAATAATTTAATAATACACTCCTTGTTTTAATAATACACTCCCTGTTTTAATAATTTAATAATACACTCCCTGTTTTAATAATACACTCCCTGTTTTAATAATTTAATAATGCACTCCCTGTTTTAATAATACACTCCCTGTTTTAATAATTTAATAATACACACCATGTTTTAATAATACACTCCCTGTTTTAATAATTTAATAATACACTCCCAGTTTTAATAATCCACTCCCTGTTATAATAATACACTCCATGTTTTAATAATACACTCCTCGTTCTAATAATTTAATAATACACTCCCTGTTTTAATAATTTAATAATCCACTCCCTGTTATAATAATACACTCCCTGTTTTAATAATTTAATAATACACTCCCTGTTTTAATAATACACTCCCTGTTTTAATAATTTAATAATACACTCCCAGTTTTAATAATCCAGTCCCTGTTATAATAATACACTCCTCGTTTTAATAATACACACTTTGCCAAAATGTAGAGTTGCGCAATAGATGAGACAGTTTTTGAGATGTTTCCAAAAGACGCGTTGTTGAGACGCGTCTTAGGACCTTGCCAAGACCCATGACCAGGTTTAAACGGCTGATCACATCATAATATGTCATCAAATTAAAAATGTTAGACTATTTATTTAAAACTCTGTGTTCTACTATGTAAATGACACATCTAACATCTACGAAATAGCTATATTATCGATTCAACTAATGGGATAGCCAAGGCGTCCAATATCTCTCTACTGCACGATGAAAGATCTGTGTAGAGAACTTTTGTAAATCTTCGAAATGTTCGGTAGTTTGGGTTCGTTAGTTTGTCGTTTAGAAATTATACAAATATTTGAAAAAATTAGATAACAGATACAGCTTCAACTGAAAATAGTATGAACGAATCAATATAATTTACCTTAAAATTAACATGATTTAACTAGTGTCATCATAGTAAACGATCTTAACCTGGTCCCATTAATTCAAACATCAACAAAATGAATTATGTTCCTCTCAATATTCCCCTCGTTGAAAGAAGTAATGAAAAAATCGTGGCCTGAGAAAACATCAGTAATCAAATGTAACTTTCCACTGTGTGGCTTAGAAACGGCGAGTTTGAAGAAGGAGAATTCTGCCGAGAGAAGGGAGCAGTAATATATTAGGGAAAACATACTTGTTCTCCTTTCCTTCAACCCCCCCCCCCCAATCAACTTCAGGTATGAATTCACTTGGTTTACGTTTCTATGGCCAAAAAGATAGACACGTTGTTACCAACCCATAGCACCAGACCCCGAAATGGTCTTCGATGGTTTTCTGTGGGGTCCCAGGCTGACAAAGTACAAAAAGAAAAAGTCAACTTTGACATTTGTCATGGTATTTGATGATCATCTCGTCTCTACACTTTGAATTTTGTCATGACATATGATGACTTCGTCTCTACACTTGGTATTTTATCATGACATGTGTTTATTGAGTCTCTACAAGTTGTATTTTGTCATGACATGATGATCGAATCTGCACACTTTGTACTTTGTCATGACATATGATAATCTCGTCTTTACACGTTGTATCTTGTCATCACATACGATGATCGAGTCTCTAAACTTTGTATTTTGTCATGACATATGATAATCTCGTTTCTGCACGTTGTATTTTGTCATCACATATGATGATCGAGTCTCTAGACTTTGTAGTTTGTCATGACATCTCATCGATTTTCTTCACTTTGTGTTTTGTCATGACAGGGCCGGCCCGACGGTTGCTGGCGCCCTGAGCAAGCTAACTTTGGCGCCCCTTATAAGTATAATCATTTACGGTAAAAGCTATTTATTCTGTAATGAGTTTATTACCTATGTGTTTTTTTTAACAACAACAATAAAATTGATTTTGTTAACTTGTATCAGCATATCTTTTTTTTTTTTTATTCCACTTTCTATTTTTCTTCCATGGCACTCGCATTTACGAAAAGTTAGATACTTGGTGTTTTGTCATGACATAGAATAACCTCGTCTCTACAATTTTTTTTTTTTTGAGTTTATTACCTATGTGTTTTTTTTAACAACAACAATAAAATTGATTTTGTTAACTTGTATCAGCATATCTTTTTTTTTTTTTATTCCACTTTCTATTTTTCTTCCATGGCACTCGCATGTACGAAAAGTTAGATACTTTGTGTTTTGTCATGACATAGAATAACCTCGTCTCTACAATTTGTATTTTTTAGGACATATGATGACCTCGTCTCCACACTTGGTGGTTTAAAAAAATTTAGTCGTTCTTAAGATAGGCTGGAGATATTTGTTAAATGTTTTAAGAAAAAATTGCATTGCATTTAGTGAGGTTGTTAGTTAGGTAGTTAGCTGGCGAGGTAGTTAATTAGTAAGTTAGTTAGTCAGCGAGGTAGTTAGCGAGGTAGATTGCTAGCGATGAGGTTTTTTAGCGAGGTAGTTAGTTAGCGAGGTAGTGAGTTAGCTATGTAGTTTGTTAGCGAGTTACTTTAAATAGAGACCGACTGAATTCGATATTTCTGATTTCGACCGAAACTGAAACCGAACCGAATTTCTTTCGTCCTCTAGCTTTAAACGAGTCCAACAATGAATTAAAGTAATAATCAATATAAGGTTTGAGATAGGTCGATGCTCACTGCAATGTTTGAGATAGATGGATAATCATGCAATGTTTGAGATCGATGGATTATCATGCAATGTTTGAGATAGATGGATAATCATGCAATGTTTGAGATAGATGGATAATTATGCAATTTTGAGATAGATGGATAATCATGCAATGTTTGAGATAGATGGATAATCATGCAATGTTTGAGATTGATGGATAAGCATGCAATGTTTGAGATAGATGGATAATTATGCAATTTTGAGATAGATGGATAATCATGCAATGTTTGAGATAGATGGATAATCATGCAATGTTTGAGATTGATGGATAAGCATGCATAGCTTGAGATAGATGGATATCATGCAATGTTTGAGACAGATGGTTGATAATTTGTTAAAGAATGCAAACATGAATGACAATGAGTAAACAGACGCAATGAAGGACATTAATCACAAAGTAGCCGGTGCACTAGTTTAATGTACTATGCATTGACAATGGTATCAATTAGTCGACATAAATGATAGTTATACATTATCAATGATATCATTTTAATGGAAAAAATTAATTATGCAATAATCATAGATAATCAGTGGATTAAAAATAAAATAAAATTAAAATGAAGTTATTTGAGTATGAAGCATTTTAAAGGTTTTCTATAGAACATTTTAATTCAGGGATATTTACTGTGGAATAAGAAAAGCCATAGGAAAATGGTTTTTAATACGACATAAAGAAATGTTTGAATGATAAGATTTTTATTGATCAAATAAATGAAAATGTTTTGTTTTTTTAAAAATTTGATTCAGTTTAAAAAATCTTAATAAAATCAGAAACAGTCAAAAATCAGTTGCCACCCTCACAGGACGCCTCCCGAGCGATTTATTCAACCCTTCCCCCTGCCCCCCCCTCCCCCTAATTCGCCACTGTATAAGAGTAACACTATTGAATAGATTTTGCTGTTGAGCGAATTTCTAAATGCTGGGGATATAACCATAACATGACCTTTACTTACCGCCCTTGTCATTTTGTAAGTGCCTAATACAAGATTGTATAACCGCAGTTGCCTTCCCTTCTAAATCATTAAATTAATTGCTAATTATTTTAATAATTTGCACTGATAACTTGTGATTTTTTAAAAGACTAAAACAATAGGGGAGTTAGGGTTTCTACACGATCTAAACAGTAATACAAAAGTAGATCAATAATACAATTTTAATTCTAGATAAGATATATATCAAACCATACTTAATGAATAAAAGCAAATGAAATAAAGAAACCAAAGGATTGAATACAATTAAAATAAGATACAAGTTTCAACATTAAATTGTGATAATTTATTCAGTGATTTAAACTAAAAGATCATTAAGTTTACTTGTTTTATGTTTGATGTATTTTTAATCATTTATTGAATAGAACTTTAATTTTAATAATAATAATAATAATTATATTTGAAGAAAGGGTTGATCTTAATTTTATTTAGTACCTGTAACCTTTAATGGTTAATGCAACATTTGCTCTCTACATTTTGAAGCTTTAAAAAATTAGATTGTTTATTTTTGCTATTTTTTGGATTTTAAAGCACATACATTTGTGCCTGTGTCTCTTGAAGGGAGCAAACTGTAATATCAGATTTTTAAAATGGGATTTTCTGTATTTTCTCTTCACGCATGTGTTGGTGGAGTGCTTCGGTTTATTAAAATATATGCTCAGCCCCCTCCCTCCCCCACCCCCCATATTGGTAAATATGTCTGCGTGAACCTGTATGCATGTTCAGAGAGAGAGATCACTGAATATGCCTGATTACACATTTGTGAATGTTCTGAGAGAGAGAGAGAGAGAGAGAGAGAGAGAGGTATTTATCAAGGTGGATTGAATGATATTAAACTCTTTCGTTGCCAATAAGACCTAGCAAACCGCCAACAACTATCATGATACCACCAATGATACTCAGGATAAAAGAATAGCCGATGTCCAGTTTTGACAGATAGTCTGCGTGCACTTTTGCGCCCCAAACAATGATGGCTATCAGGATACAAATAACTGAAATAAAAAAAAAATTAAACTTTAATTATTTCTAAAGAAAGCAATTAATGCAGAGTTTGTAAATATGTAAAAAAAGATATATACAACAGATAAATATGTGGATAAATTGCCAAATTTAGGTGTAGATGGATGATTGATGGCTTGATGAAGTGATGGCTATAGAAATGGATGGATGCATAGAATGGTAGAGAGCTGATTGGATAAATAGATATATGTTGTGCCTTTTTTGACTGGCTTGTATTTGATTCAATTTCATCCGCCCAAGCAACAACTCTGTTTGAAATTATATTTCTACAGTTCATATAAGAAAAAGATAATTTAGATAAAATAGTTAAAATATAAAAAGGGCGAACAAGAGTTCACATAGTAAGTACCAGAGGCGTAGCGAGCGAAGAGCAGGGGGGAGCAAGGTAGTGTGAAAATTAAATCAAGTCTTTTTCCGGCAGAATTAAAAAATACATTTATCCTTACTTACTCATCGTATGGCGTACTTACCAGAGGCGTAGCGAGGGTGTTTGGCGCCCGGGGACAAGATCCATTTTTAGAGCGCCCGCTTTTCTTTTTTCAACTCTCAAACCCATTATTTTTACCAATTATATAATATCAAAGCACATTTTGGCGCCCCTAACTAGCTTGCGCCCGGGGACATCTGTCCCTCCCTGCCCCCCCCTCGCTACGCCTCTGGTACTTACTATGTTAACTCTTGTTCGCCCTTTTTATATTTTAACTATTTTATCTAAATTATCTTTTTCTTATATGAACTGTAGAAATATAATTTCAAACAGAGTTGTTGCTTGGGCGGATGAAATTGAATCAAATACAAGCGACATTTCAGTTTGTGTGTGACATAATAAGTAGGTTTTTGCATTAGTACAATCATTTTACAATTTTGCGTCTGGGGCAAGGGGCCTTTTTTTTTTATGTGACCTATAAAAATATAATTTCAAACAGAGCTATTAAATGGATGGATCAATCGCTACAATTGTGTTGACTAAATTTTAAAAAAAACATGTTTCTCACGTGCACAGCTGTATGTTGCCTGCTCACGCTTCGAGAAACCTTCTTATTTATTTGTGTTACGCACCAGAAGTAAAAAACAAAAACACAATTTTCTATTTAAAAATTACTTAAAAAGCGTTATTAAAACACAAACACTATATTTTCTTTAAGTAGCATTGCAACGAATGCCGGGTTCTCGCTATTATATACATATATTCAAATTGTGTATACTTGGGCCTTCCTTTTGAATTCATCCCTACCCCATTTGACCATTACGTTTGTTCTGACACCTGTAATAACCACAGCTGGTCAGCTTGAACGGTCATCAGCGATGTGCTCTCATTGCTCTATGTTTATGTTGATTGCTTTCATGTTTTCCTGACTAATGTATATTGAGTGACCGTCTAAATCTTATATTGTCTGCTAGTTCTTGGTACATCATAGACCCTAGGATTATAGCTTTTGTCCAATTTCGTGACATGGCCTTTCCAGCCGAAGTCACCTCGTGCGAAAAGGCCATTGAACATGCTTCACATTTTGGCCACGTTACAAATTTCACCATCGAAAATATGTTTATTCCAATGAACATAGAATTTATCTGGTTTTATGGTACCAAAATGGACTCACGTGAATATTAAAATAAAATAATAAACTCACATGCTGCCATACAACCAGCCAATGAAATCACAGGAAACATAGCATTCTTGGGTTTCCCCATCATAGGAAAAAGAACAGATATCGCGGCCATGGCTAGACCCAGAAAACTTGCCAACATTCCTAAAATGGCGAAGGCTTCACAGGCCCGGAGGCTACTTTTCCATTCATCAGCTATACGACAAATATAAGGATCAATATTCAATGATTAATTATTAAAGTTATTGATATATTGTTTTACAGTTCTTTAATACATATATAGTGAGCCGTAAGGCCGAAACTAATTTTTAACAAAAACAAGTAACATCTATCACCAAGTGGGTTCCCCTAATTTTTTAATAATAATAATAATAAAGTTCATTTCAAAAACACGCTTCATCCCCAAAGGCTCGAAGCGCGGTACAAAGTCAACAAAATACAAATCTATAATTTACCACATTTAAAACAAACGCAACACTACAAAAACTAATTACTAGCATACAATGGCAAAGTCTGATTTGATGCAATTAAAAAAAAAAAAGTTCTTTCACAGTTTTCAATAAGCACTTCCGCTTTTAAAAACAAAAACATTTAAAATTGCCCCAAACACAACTAATCCAGTTTTCTCAAAAAACGCCTTACTTACGCAATGTATCAAATGGGTAATCACCACAAATCTCTATGCCACTCAGACATGCTTTCCAAAGGCCGTATGACACAGATTGGCCATTTACATGAAGAGCTGACCACTCCGGTGAGGCTAAACCAATCAAGTGCAGAAGAACGCCAACCCCGATGGTACACACAGCTACAAGAGCAGGAACGCTAACTCCTCCAGGAAGGGCCATCTTTGCATTTCTCAGTTACCTTGGAACAATTCATGAAATCATTATATAAGTAAATTGTCGTTCAGACTATCATACAATGAATTTTTATCAACAGATCCCCAAAAATAGTGTAAATAATTTTTTTTTGTAAATTAAAAAATGTAAGAGGTGCATTTCTACCATTGCTTGATTGGAATACATATGGCATCCATTTACACTGCGGTATAGTTTTGAAACATTCTAACCTCTCATTATCTATAAGCGGATATAAGTTCTCATTACAATTCAGTTCTAATTTTGAAAGGAGAACTTTTTTTAAAAAAAAGGTCTGAAGAATGCTGTAAAACAAGGCCTCCATTCCAGCATCATATGTTCCTCACTTTGTTGCCATGGTGATAATGTTTGTTGTTAATGCCGTGCAATCGTCGGCGTCCTCAAAATTGAACATCTCATGACTCATTAAAATTAGATTAGACCTCTGAAATCTAACCTATAACCTCCAATGCTGAATACTCCTGTGAGTTGATCCCCGTTTAAAAATCTGAAGGTTTCGTTCGGAAATGGGTCTAAATTTGACATCCATTTATAAGTATTTCAACTCTTTCGACCGCTGTGTCAATCTTTTAAGGCAGGCATTATCTGGACACATTTACCATCATTGATATTTGAGTCAGTTTCGGTTTCTTTTAAGTTAAATCTGCATTAAATGCAGTCACATTTTATTTGCTTACCAGTTCACATTTAGTGAAGCTCTGAGTTTGTTATTTCTTTTAATTAAGATTTAAAGACGGAACTGTTTTGTCAATGGTGGATGATTGATTTGCATGAGAGCGAGAAAGAAAGAGAGAGGGATATATATAACATATGTAATTGAAAAAAAAAATTAAATTGCGTAAGGAGTCCAGAAAATGTTAAAAGCCATATGAGCGGTCATTCAAAACCCTTCCAGTCCCTCTTCCTCAGTGTCAACACTGCCCCGCGCCCTCACCCCCAAAAGGTCGTAACTGTCAAGTAATTTAAAAAAAAAAATATATATTACACGCACTGTTTAAATAATACACACCCTGTTTTAATAATGCACACTGTTTTATTATACACACCCTGTTTAATAATACACATCCTGTTGTAATAATACAGATCCTGTTTTAATAATACATACCCTGTTTAATAATACACATCCTGTTTTAATAATACTACCTGTTTTAATAACACGCACCCCGTTTTAATAATACAAACCTCTGTTTTAATAATACACACCCTGTTTAATAATACACACCCTGTTTTAATAAAAAACACCCTGTTTAATAATACACACCCTGTTTTAATAATAAACACCCTGTTTTAATAATACACACCCTGTTTTAATAATACACACCTTGCTTTAATAATACACACCCTGTTTTAATAATACACACTCTGTTTTAATAATACACACCCTGTTTTAATAATACACACCCTGTTTTAATAATACACACCCTGTTTTAGAAAGTCTTTGAGATGTTTCCAAAAGACGCGTTGTTGAGACGCGTCTTAGGACCTTGCCAAGACCCATGACCAGGTGTAAACAGCTGATCACATCTCATATATTATGTCATCAAATTAAAAAAAATGTTAGACTATTTATTTAAAACGCCGTGCTCTACTTTGTAAATGACATCTAACATCTACGAAATAGCTACTTTAGTGATACATCTATTGGGAGAGCCAAGGCGTCCTATATCTCTCTACTGTACCATGAAATGTTCTACTTTGTAAATGACATCTAACATCTACGAAATAGCTACTTTAGTGATACATCTATTGGGAGAGCCAAGGCGTCCTATATCTCTCTACTGTACCATGAAATGTTCTACTTTGTAAATGACATCTAACATCTACGAAATAGCTACTTTAGTGATACATCTATTGGGAGAGCCAAGGCGTCCTATATCTCTCTACTGTACCATGAAATGTTCTACTTTGTAAATGACATCTAACATCTACGAAATAGCTACTTTAGTGATACATCTATTGGGAGAGCCAAGGCGTCCTATATCTCTCTACTGTACCATGAAATGTTCTACTTTGTAAATGACATCTAACATCTACGAAATAGCTACTTTAGTGATACAACTATTGGGAGAGCCAAGGCGTCCTATATCTCTCTACTGTACCATGAAATGTTCTACTTTGTAAATGACATCTAACATCTACGAAATAGCTACTTTAGTGATACATCTATTGGGAGAGCCAAGGCGTCCTATATCTCTCTACTGTACCATGAAATGTTCTACTTTGTAAATGACATCTAACATCTACGGAATAGTTACTTTGGTGATACATCTATTGGGAGAGCCAAGGCGTCCTATATCTCTCTACTGTACCATGAAATGTTCTACTTTGTAAATGACATCTAACATCTACGAAATAGCTACTTTAGTGATACATCTATTGGGAGAGCCAAGGCGTCCTATATCTCTCTACTGTACCATGAAATGTTGTACTTTGTAAATGACATCTAACATCTACGGAATAGCTAATTTAGTGATACATCTATTGGGAGAGCCAAGGCGCCCTGTATCTCTCTACTGTACCATGAAATGTTCTACTTTGTAAATGACATATAACATCTACGGAATAGCTACTTTAGTGATACATCTATTGGGAGAGCCAAGGCGCCCTGTATCTCTCTACTGTACCATGAAAAGTATGTGGAGATAACTTTTTTAAACTTTGAACTGTTCGGTATTGGGTTAGCTGGTTAGTCATTTAGAATTGGTGCATATATATATGGAAAATTAGATAACAGAGATAAATAATTAAAAACAGTACGAACGAATCAATATAATTTTACCCTAAAATTAACATTATTTAACATAATGTTATAATGTCATAATAATTAATTTATTAAATCCTGTCCCATTAATTTTAACACCAACAAAGTAAATTATTTTCCTCCTTAATTTTTTTGCATACGTTGAAAGAAATACTGAAATTAACAATACTGAAATTAACGTAGCCCGAGAAAACAATCGCATAAAACACTAGTAATTAAATGTAACTTACCACTGTGTGGGTTTGAAGTAGCCGCAATTTGAAGAAGGAATTTTTTGCCGAGATAAAGGCGCAGTAATATCTTAGACATAAAAAGTCAATGTTCCACCGGCCCCACTTCAGGGGTTAGTTCCCCTTGTTTACTTTTCTAAGGTTAACATTGTAGGCACGTTGTTCCCAACCTATAGCATCCGACCCCGATGTGGTCTTCATGGTTGCTGTGGGGGTCCTCGCTCAAAATGTAAAAAATAAAAAGAGCTTTTAATAATGTAAAAAATTCAACTCTATGCAATGTATTTTCTCTTACCATAATGTGCACTGCATTCATTCTTATTTTAACATAGATTTTGGGAATCACTTTATTTCTATAAAATGGGTTCACGGATCCTTCCCTAATTAATACAATTTATCACACAATCGTTTCAACGGCTGTCAAACACTTGTTCATTAATTATTTTTTTTTAAATTAAAAAAAATATTTCATAGCCACATTTTATATTTAGAATATTACCTGAGTATTTTTGAAAACTAAAATTAAATCAACATATCTAATGATGCAATCCTTCATAGAGAAATATAGTTATTGAGGAAAATTCCTAAAAACTTTTTAAAAAATGGATCTTTGTAGCTGGTCATGACATATGATGATGCTAGCCTCGTCTCTACACGCTTTTAGTAATTAGATTATTAGTAATCAAGTGTCAAACGCAACATGAATATTGGACACTGTTGTTTCTACCTGGGGGGGGGAGGCTAGTGTTGGGTGGGAGGCAGGTGTTGGGTGGGGGGCAGGGGTTGGGTGGGGGAGGGTGTTTGGTGGGGGGGAGGTGTTGGAGGGGGGAGGGGAAGAGCG